CTTGAAAGTAAATAAATTCTCAACCCTCACCCTTCTTCTCTTATTTGCATCACTACTTCCTCTTACAGTAGCCATTTGACTCTCAAAAAACAGCCAAGGTCACTGGTGAAGCCGAACAGAAGGATGTGATGCCACTTACAGCATGGCTGGCTGTGAAGAAATAGGTCAGTGGAATACAGCTGGGCGATCAATAGGATGCTCCAGCCCAGGCAACAAAGCCAGATGCCTGTGGAAAATGAGCATCTTGCAGGCAATTACACAGGAGTCTGCAGTTTTGGTCTGAAAGAGGGAATGGTCAGGACAAGTATAAACTCAGACATTCTTGTGAACTTGTTTATCCAAATTATCTCTATCTCATCTTTTCTAGCTATCCACTCTCAAGCCTCTGCAGCTGGTTTGCAGTCTCCCATGAGCCATATTTTGCACCTCCTCAATCAGTCCAACAGCAAGAAGCTCCCATTTGGGTAATCTTACCAGACCTCAGGATCCCTTCTAACACCCTCCTTTAGCAATGGCAGGAATATGCTACAGGGTAACACATAGAATTACTGCAGGTCCAGCATTCTTCTCCGCAAGTTGTACCAGGGTGGGTGTCCTGGGCTTGGCAGAGGGGGCTGCAGTGGTGCCATCTGTGAGTAGTGGCCGGGGCTGCCCCATGCTACACACAGCTGGTGGCATCTCCAATAAGTACATGTAAGAAAAGGCAAAGTACTGCCCACAAGTGAGGAACTGAGAGAAAGGCCCATAGATACTTAGGTCAGAAAAGGAGAAGAGGTGCTCCAGGCTCCCATGCCGCCTTCATGGCCATGGCAGAGCAGCTCTGCAGCTGAGATAGGATCAGGCCTCAGCAAGTTTCATGGAAGACTACACCCCTCAGGAGGGATCTGTACCAGAGCAGGGGAGAAGCATGAGGGGGAAGGAACAGCAGAGATTAACTATTTGGAATGGCCACAATGCCTGTCTTGATCAGGATGTGCTGTCCGAAGGGAAGATAGGCCCAAGAGAGGGAGCAGGGTAGGGAGAATATAAGGGTCTTATGATTTGCATGGGTTGGTTTGTTTTGTTTCTGTCTTTGCTTCTCACTGCACAAGTGCATTTTAATTGGCCATAAATTAAGTTCATTTCCCCCATGCAGAGTCTGATTTCCCGTGACGGTGATTGATCTCTTCCCTCAGATCCCAACCTGCTGACTCTGCCATCCTGTTTTTCCCCCAGTGCTGTGGAGCAGCAAAGCGAGAATGACTGGCAGCCAGGCAAGGTGAGTCCACGATAGAAGGCAAATAGAAAGTCACTTTTTGAATCACATAGCAAATACCCTGAATGTGTTTTAAAACAAACTGCAGCCACAGTGAGATTTTTACTGCCAGTTTCAGGACACGTCTGAGCAGCTGACAAACAAATGACAACTAGAACCAAGTCAGCATTTTTTCAGTCAAAAGGCAACTAAGCACAGAAACTAAATTAGTTTAACTGCCCTACCATTAAGCCACAGGCAAGTTATTTAATAAAAGCAAGCATCCAAAGAATATGCAAGGCAGAGCATTGGTACTGGACACATCTATAGTACTGTCCCCCTCTTCCTTATTCGTCCACAACAAACAGGCTTTGCTTCCAACAAGGGCAGATGATCATCTCCTGCTATATCCTCAATTTTCAACCATCCTTACCACCACATATCATTACCACTTTGGCCACTTGTCCATACTTTGAACGGCACAGGTCCTTTAACACTCCCCAAATGCCTGTTGCTAAAATCTTACGATGTCATAAACAGCAATATTCCGCAGGCAAATCCTAGATGTTCAGTGCCGAAACTACAGGCACTCTTACGCCAGCAAACACCTCCTTTGCCTCCATCCCCCACTGCAGACATGATGGCTCACGCTGCCTTTTACTACATGCTTATTCTGTGCAACTGTTTCAAATCAACGCATTCTTCTTGAAATCATTAAGATGAATTACTGCTTCCTTTCATTAAAGTTTTAAAAGGATAGAACTGTCCTCTTGTGATGTGAAATCATAAGTTGATATTTCAGTAAACATTTGACACACAAGAGGTTATAACCATTGCTATCCCTTAAGAACAGCCATATAGTACATTCTTACACTGTTAAAATTACAGCAGGGACGCCTCCCACTAGACCAGGTTGCACAAAATCCCATCCAGCCTGGCTTTGAATGCTTCCAGGGAGGGGACATAAGAGTGTACGGGTCAATTTTTCTTGTCTGAGCAGCAAAACACGTCATTAAATCCAATAGCACCCATCTAAAAGAGGTGTGCAAACAGAACAGCACAATTTTTCAGGTAATGTGCTCCTATCACACTGAAAAGCAAAAGAAAAAAAAGAAAAAAAAAAAGAAAAAAAAAAAAAAGAAGTGACCCCGCCTGTTACACTTTAAGAAAAATCAGAATTACTCTATATCTATTACTGAAAAAAAAGATCATTTCCCTATACAGTTACAGAGCCAAATGCATACTGAAGAATTCTGTAAGTGAATTGTAAGACTTTGAGTGAAATAGAAATTCTGATCCCATATCCATGTATGACTACCACATAACTAACAAAATATAGTTGTGCTTTTCAGTAATGAACTGAATTTGACAAGGAAACTGTTGTATTCCCAAACAAATACCTAAAAGCCAACACCATCAAAATCTATATTGAGGAGCTGTTGCTAAAGAATTTAATTTTGAAGCCAGAGGAATTTTTCTTCTGATAGAATATGTTTCATTCTTTAACTCTTGCATCCTAGTAGGACATAACTGTGAACAAAATACTTTCCCTTGGACAACTTGTATTCAAGCAAAAAGAAACAAACCTAGTCTGTCAATAACACAATAGCACAGGATCTTTGTAGCCATCAGTTCTTCTTTACAATGCCTGTATGGACCTTAATACTTTCTACTTCCTTAGCACAGCTACACAATCTCACAGAACAACTTCTGGACTATTTCAAAGCAAGATCAATGAAAGAAGGGACTACTATGATTCAACCATAATGCAGAGATTATATCTTAGTTTAAGCTCCATTATTATGCATTAGTTTTCTATCAACTGCTACTTCCTGTTATTCTATCCTACCTCAAATTGAAGGTTTATCTACAAAAGTTTTGCTACCTTACATTATTTCTTTTACCTAACTCATATGCAAATATATTTTGAACTTCACATTAACTGCAAGTACATTAACTGCAAGTATTCAAAGAGGAGGAATGAGGGCCAAAGAAAATCAAAACACATTCTCAAATCTCACAGCCTACTCTGAGAAGAAGACTCTGAGAAAGTAGCAAAAGGAAAACATTCATCCAGTAACTAACTGATGAGAACTGCTATATGAAAACACTTTGACTCCACACGCAGTAACAAATGGCCCAATCCAAAGTCTTCTACAGCAAATGTAAAAAATGCACATCAACAACCTTTTTAACAGTCTGAAGCTAGTGAATGGAACAAGCAGTGCACACATGTGATACAGTCTTTTAGTATTCTTGCCCCAAACACAAATCGTCAAGAACCGAGACACTGAATTCCTGCAGTTTCCATCACACTCACTGAGATCTGTGCACTTGGTTCAGGATATCCAATCTTGGCAAGCAGCAGCACAAAGATAACATAACTTTGCTTTTGTACAGGAAGCATTAAAAAAATCCACCACGCTTCAGCAAGGCAAACACGTTATACATAGAAATTAATAATAATAGTAAAGAAAAAAAGGAACAATGCCTTCATTCAAATCATAAGGAGTGAACATTAGGCTATTTGCAGAGATTCAGGCAGCTGCTGAGAACATCTTAGCAGCTCTTGTATTTGCAAGAGAAGCGCTGTCAAGTGAAACCAAAACAATCCTTCCATTTAAATACGTCAACCAACCAAACACACGTTATGCAGCCATACTTCCAAAGTCCAAAATTAAAACACAATGCCAAATTTCTGAATGAAAAAAAAAAAAAAAGTATTACAAGAGTGTTATTTTTGCACTTATAACAGCACTGCCAAACCAAACCACCGACTTAACACTGTGATCCATTACTTCAGCAAGTAAAAAGCCTCAAAGTATTCACAGGAACTCTGCTCGCTGAATTTAGACCACAATGTCTTTAAAAAAAAAAAAAAAAAAAAAAAACGAAAAAGGCATCCCAAAAAAAAAAAACCCAAAACCTTAGTATCTGGGCTTACCTATACAAAAACAACCATTATGTCCCTCTGCAATCTACTCACCCCAAGCACTCTTACCCACGGGCCATCTTCCCTGCCAGACTAACACCAAATTTAAACTCCCCCCTGCCAAACTGTGGGAGCCGGACTCTAATCTAAAACCCAGAAACCAAGAGCAAAGTGATGCAAAAAATAGGATTCGAACGATCTCCTCGACAACCGGAGCAGGCTGCAACCTAAATAATGTAAAGCAAAAAGCACAAAAGGAAACAACGAGCCTTTTGCTTAGATTTTCTATCCAATGGCACAACAAGGAAAAAAAAAAAAATAGAAGAAGAAGAAAAAAAAAAACAAGGGCCCAATCCACAGAAGGTGATTACGTGGGTAAGCGCAGCTTTGCCCCGGCACTCCAGACACAGCGGGGCGCGCCGAGCGGCACCGGGGGAGGGCCTCCCGTCCTCGGCCCCGGGCAGGCTCCCCCCGCGGCAGGAGACACTGAGCCGCAGATTTAAGAGAGAAAAACACCCCGATCAGCGCGAGCGGCCCTAAAGATAGAAGCGGACTAACTGCATTAGCGTCCGCCGAGCCGGGGGGTCGCTCCCCGCCACGTCCCCTCGTGGAGCCGCTGCGGCGCTTCCTTCCGCGGAGCGGGGGAGGGAACGAAGAAGCCGCTTCTCCGCAGGCACGGGCGCTGCTGCGGGGCGCCGGGAGCACGCTGCAGGCAGGGAACGGCGAGACCGCGCCAGGCGGGGGAAGGGAAGGGAGGAGAAGGGAAACGGCGCCGGCCCCGCGGCCCCCATCCCCGCGGCCGCAGCTGCCCCATCCCCACGTCCCGGTTCTTACCCGCCCTGTAGCCGCGAGGGCCGGCGCCGAGCTGAGGCTGCAGCCCTCCCCACATGGTGCCGCGCTCCGGCAACGCGGAGCCGCTCGCTGGCCGGCCCCGGCCGGGGGACGAGCGGCCCGGTCGGGCGACAGGAATTAGCGGGGGGCTGCCGCCGCGGCTCGCTGCCCCCGGGGCGCCGCGGCCATGCTGCTTGGCCGCGATCGCGCAGGCGGGAGGAGCTGACCGCCCCCACCGCAGACAGAACTTGCTTTATTGCGCTGCCGCCGCTGCCGCCGCCTGGTTCTCCGGAGCTGGGAGCGGAGCGGGGCGGGGCGGGGACAGGGGCGGGAGTCCGCGGATGCTGCGGCGCTCGGGGGCGAGCCTCTTGCGTAAGCCGGCCCACGGGGAGGGGGCGCTGGGCGAGCGGCAGCCGGGGCTGGGAGGGAGGCAGGCCGGGGCTGAAGGGGGGGGGGTCGGCTTCCCCGGGCCCGGCCCGCGGAGCCGCTCTGGCCCCGAGAAGGAGCTGGGCGCTGCCGTTTGCGTCGAGAGTGGGAACTTCCTCAGCCTGCCCGCGGGGTACATAGAGCTGGGGCGTGAGCGCTGCCCTCCGTTCTGCCTTTTCTTCCCATCTAGACTGCGATCCAGGCAGGCAAATGCAGAGTCAGTTAGCAAGGGCAAGTTAATATAATTGGAAACTGAGGGGCAAAGGGAAGCTGCCATGGTGAAGGAAGAGGAGAGCGGCAGAATGCAGCACGGGGTCACTGCCCGTGCTCTGCCATGCTCTCCTCCTGGAGACGGGTCTGCAGCGCAGCTGCTGCCTCGCAGGCAGCTGGCTGGCCCCGTAAATACCCGTACGGCCGTATTCCACGATGATGGAAGTGAGTTTGATATCAGGGTCATCAGTAAAGAAAGGTGAAATGCTTTCCTCCACAATTACACCTTTTAAAGAAGTGCCCCAGGCCTATACATCCAGCTTACTAGAGTTTATTATAGTTTCACAGTTTTCCTGTACTCCCTTAATTCCCTACTTTCCTACTTCATAAGGAAAAAAGAAGTGCAAAGAAAGAAGAATCACAACTTTCCCTTGAGTGGTTAATTCTGAGTATCACAATCAAGCTTAGGCCACAGAGCTGGAAACAAAATGCTCTTGTCAGCAATAAGTCAAAAACAGTATAAAGTTTCCAACCCAAGCTGTTCTGAGGCTGCCAAAATACATCAAGAGAGAATTCTGCCACAGCAGCACTCGCATTGCTGTTGCTGGTCTGCAACTGCAGCCCAGTGCTCCCCACTGCAAAATGCCTTCTGAACCTGTCAGTGATCGTCATTGCCCAACAGATCGTAAAATTAAGGAGAAAATACTTAGGTGTCTTCTACTTTTAATGTAACCATCCCAAAGTTACAAAACCCACCACTATTACCAATATATGAAAAATTTAGATGGCATTGCATAGCACAATGGACGTTAAAGGGCTAAGAAGTGAGGTGAAACAGGAGCAATTCATGCAAAACATCCACAATTGATAAATCAAATCTATGCTCAAATACTTCCTGCTGACTCAATGCATTTTTAATAGTAGCTTTTTGTCACAGAATAGCTTTTATCTTTATCTCTTTGGGAAATTATATGTTAGATTTTGGTATGCCATATTTTATTTACACCTAGCTACATATTCATAATGTACTCATTAAAAGACAGGGCTCTGAAATGGTGGAATGAGCATGTAGAAATGCTTGCATATTGTGTTGCCCTTTTTCTTGTCTGCATACAGCCCTTATGTTCTCATCAAAGATGTGACACTCTGCATTCCTCACTAGCTCATTTAACCCAGGGAGCATAATTGTTTTGTAGGTAGAGTTGTAGAAACAGGCTTCAAAAGCAAATGCTGAACAAAAATCAACAGTACTAAAAGTGGTGTGTACCTGCTCCAGAAGATTCCATCAGAATATTCGGAATGTTTCTGGAGGCCTTCTGAATGACAGAAGGGTGGAAGCACTTTCAAGATGCCACAATGCAAGAGAGTAAATTATCGGTAACATCAAGCCAAAAACATGCAACCCTTCAGCCAACAAGCAAGCTTTGATACTGATGGATGTTAGTGAGAGCAAGGCAGGTAAACGTGAGTGTAAGAAGGGGCAGTAAAAGGTGTTATAACTTGTAAAGCACTCAGGAACAAGAAACACGTGAACAGCTTTGTTTGATATTTGTATAAAGAACTTGTCTAGGTGTAAAATCTGTTGTATGCTCTTTTGTTGAGTTTGCTCAACTCTGGGTAAGCGTGTGCCAATAGTGTATTCACAACGGAACACAGCAGCCTGAGAGGAAACTGAATGCCGAGAAAGGCATGCAGCATCAAGCGAGCAGAAAAACTCCCCTATCAGTGCAGAGCCTTGCAGTTTGTGATGCTGTCCTATGATGGAGCTGCAAGAATCCAGTGGCATATTGTGCCACCAGAAAGCTGTGCGCCCAGAAATGCTCTGATAATAGTTCTTTTATCTCCTTATGTGTCACTGCAGTCTTGTTATGATTTTTGGCACTGCCATTCATGGAAGCTTTGTACAGTTTTCTATGTATCTCAACCACTTATGAATAATATTACAGAGAAAAAAAGAACATGAATAAAGGAGATCAGAACACAATGGGTTTGGCTGGCTGACTCACTGCTGCCACGCTGTTTGCAGAGGGAGGTTGACTCAGCAGCTTCTTGTTTTCCAAGGTGTCTGAGCCCACCCCTTCATGCTTTTACTGCTCAGAGCAGAAAGAAAGAAAGAAGAAAGAAAGAAAAACAAAAACAAAAACAAAAAGCCCTTGAAGCAGTTAGATAACTGAACCTGGGATACATTCATTGTTTTGATTGGATTTTAAGTTATTGTAACTGAATTATAACCTGTGTGTCTGCCTGGAAACTGGGCCAAACTGCAGTCAGTGGCTTTGCTCTATGAATACATTCAGCTGGCTAATATTTTATGCACTTTCCAGAAATGTTTTGCATCTGCAGTCTGCCTACGTACATAGTTCTAGACAGGGAGCAGAATTTGTCAGAGATTCTCAAAAACTTCTTTTAAAAAAAGCTATTGGTTTGGAATGGACCTCCTGCAAAGCCAGGCATGTGCTGTTTATTGCTGCTGTGGCACATCTTTTGCATGGACCTCACTTGTGGGTCCTGAGGATATCCCAAGCCATCCTTTGAGTCTGTGCTCTCCAATCTGCAGGGCGCAACTGAGCAGAGAAGCTGGGTACTGCCAGGCCACTTCGTTTGTGCCTCTGCACCTCATAACGCTTACCTGCACTAAGAGCACTTGCACAAGCTTACCACCTTTTAAATCCCTTGGACTGACTCTTAGGAGTATAGCAATCCCTGTCCCAATACAGCCCCACTCCAGAGGTGTATAAAGTTTAGGGTACTCTTAGAAAGCCACAGCGTGGTGCCTTACAAGTAAATCTATGCTAAGTGGAAACAGCCGGTATAATTGTTGTGAAATGCGATGCTCCAGACAATGAATGGACTCAAGTTTCTATTGTCTGCAAAGCCCTTTCCCCACTTCTTTCCTCATGACAAAAACCCTCTTGGAAGAATCAACAACAAAAGAAAGTAATAGCTTAAGTGCTTGGCACTAAACAGATGCTGTCTCATTAATGTCATTTGCAACACATCTTACCCAAGGATTTGTGATCTATCTCTAGGTTCAGAAATCACATCTTTTTTTTTTCTTGAGTAAAAAAATATAATGATCTAAATGAAATTAAGCTGAAATGTAACCTCTGAATGCAGTCTTTTTTCTTTGATTAAAGGCAGAAATGTGTTCAATATTTATTCTACACGCTTACTTTTGCATTTAATAGAATTAAAAGATTATTTAAAAAAAAAAAAAGAAAACCAAAACCTTTAATGCTAAATAGCTAAACATCATTCTAGGAAAATGCAGACTATTTCCACTGCATAATTAAAACATCAAACATGTATGCATTCTGTCAGAACCAACAGCATCACTTCTGCGAACACATCTTCTAAATTACTTGGAAATTAAAATCACAGATTTTTCAGTTACTGATTTTTTTTTTTTTTTTCAGTAAGCACAGAAATCATTTTCCTCCACCCACAATTTCTGAAGCTGAACACCATGTCCCAGCAAAATCTAAGCGACCTTTAAAAATCCTTAAAACAATTTCTCCTGGTTTACCAGAAAACAGCTATGTGTGTTACAAAGTAAGATGTTAAACTGCATTGGGGGGGGTGTAGCTAACAACAGCTTAGCTTACTTCATAAACTGTACCCTGCTGGTAGGGGCAGGTTGGTCTATAAAAGACTGAAATGTTCCACTAAAATTACATTGCATGCACTGTATAGCATCAACAATAAACTGTGCCAGCTGGTATCTGCAAAGCAGGCATCAGGAAATAATAGTGTTTGTGCTGCTTTTATTTTTGCCTTTTTCTACAAGTGAATCAGGAAGCATGTCTTTCACAAAGGAGCAAAAAACTGATATGGAATTGAACCTGCTTTGCCCTGCTCTTTCAGTAGCAGCTGAAACCATGACAGTGAATAAAATCAAGAAGGTAATTGTTACCATAGCTATGGTTTTATTGCAAGCCTCCTGAAATTTTAGATTCTTCTTAATATTATGGGTTACAGAATCTGAGAATCTCAGCCTGAAAATGTTCTGGTTTAAGCCATTGCTGGAAAACTCTTGGGAGTTATGCAGTTTACATGGTTCATTACTGATGGGGAGGACAATCATATTTTTTTCATCATAAGATTTTAAAATAATCAAAGAGATTTATAATGATAATCCCATAGTCATCAACTCTGATACCACAAGAAGAATACGCTGTGGGTGTGGAATCCAGTGGCACCTAATCAGGGTCTTGTAAAACAAACAACGAGTTTCCCAGATGTATTTTTCTCAAGGGGAATGTTTTTTAGTTCTGCTTTTCCACCTTCCCTCATCTCTATTGCCCTCCCGGAAGGACAAGAAGGGGAAAAATAAGTGGCCTGGAAGGGGATGGAGAGAGTATTTAAAAACTTAGAGGCAGCAGGCAGCTTCCAGGGTTGGCTCCTAACACATTCCATGGCAGACTGCCTGTACTGGAACAGC